GCCATTGTAAAACCTTTACTTAAAAAACAAGGTCTTGATGAAAACGACATGAGAAATTTTAGGCCAGTTTCCAATCTTAACTTTTTATCAAAAATCATGGAGAAAATCGTTTGGTGTCAAGTTCAACAACATCTAAAGGCCAATGACATGGAAGAACCTTTTCAATCTGCTTATAAAAGGCACCACAGTACGGAAACCGCTCTTTTAAAAGTATCATCAGATGTTTTAAATGAAATCGATAATTAAAAAAGTCTGTGTTTTGGTTCTGCTTGATTTGTCAGCGGCGTTCGATACCATCGACCACGAAATTTTACTAGAGAGATTGGAAAAGTCATCTTTACAATGTACATGCAAAGTCTGTCATCAATAATTTATTTATATGCCCTCAATTACCATCTTTATGCAGACGATACACATCTGTATGGATTCACTACAACTGACAATGTACACAATCTCATAGATAGAATCGCCAGATGTATCAATGATATAAGAAAATGGATGTTCAAGAATAAATTAAAATTAAATGAGGGTCAGACCGAAATATTATTTCTTCGTAGCAGCGCATGCAATGAAATCGACAATATCAGAATTAACATCAATGGCCACGAAATATCAGCCCAAACTAAAATAAAAAATTTAGGTGTGGTGCTAGATCAAGATATGTCAATGAAATACCATGTATCCAATCTTTGTAAAAAATCTATATCTCCAGCTGAAGAAAATAGGGAGCATTAGAAAATATCTATCTGTTGGTGTCACCAAAACTTTAATAACATCACTTATATTGTCAAGGATTGATTATTGCAATTCCTTACTGGCTGGTGTACCTGATGAACTGTTACAACAACTACAAAGAGTACAAAATATTGCTGCCAAAATAATTACTAAAAAAACTAAAGCATGATCATGTGACTCCTATTTTAAAAGCATTACACTGGCTCCCAGTGAAAGAGCGTATCATATATAAAATCTGTTTAACTTGCTACAAGTGCTTCAATGATTTATCACCAGACTATCTAAAACAGCTTTTAACACCCTATGTGCCTCCTAGAACGCTCAGATCACAAGTGACAAAACAACCCTTGTTAAGCCTAAAATAAATTACAAATAATATGGCCAACGCTCTTTTCATATTTTGCCCCACTTGTTTGGAATAGGCTTCCAAAAACTATCAGAGAAGCAGAAAATCTAGAAATTTTAAAGAAGAAACTAAAAGCATTTCTATTTTCATCATATTTCGATTAGACAGAATCCATCCAAGCTGTAGATCGTTGTGAGTTTGTTTGTGCGTATGCGCATATGTACGTATGTGTGTATGTGTGTATGTATGTGCGTGTGGTGCGTGCGTGAGTGAATATGTGTTTGCACGAGTATATAACACTATGTACCTTTAAAATTGATTTGTAAATCCATAATATGTATCATGTTAAGCGCATAGAGCACTGTATAAGTGGATATGCGCTATATAAATGCAATCCATTATTTATTATTAAGGTAACGTCTGATCTGTTGAGCACTCCAAAACTAGCTATAATACGGGTGTGCAACGTTTCCCCATTATTGACATTGTATTTTTGAGTGCTTGCTGGAATGAGCGTGAGCGAAAGATAGTTGAGGACAGTTCAGAACACCTGAGTTAATACAGAAGGGGTTCAGTGGGAGGGATTATATCAGAATCTAATCAGACTCGTGATCTTTTGTGTGCCGAAATATTTAGCGCCTTATCTACACCTCTTTGGGGTAAATGAAGTAAATAATTTATAATAAAATACTTACACTACTCTAGTCGTTCTTCACACACACTGACATGATGTGACAGGATTGTAGTCTCTTTTTTTTATCATGTTCTGAAAGTGAAAATAAAAGCTCCCCTCACTCTCACTCCCCCCCCCCCCTTCCCCAATTAGCCAATCGCTCTGAACTGCGAAAATTTCGAGTCCTAAACTCAAGGGAATAAAATCTGTAAAAAAGTCTCCCATGACCTTTGTGTAAAATGACGACCAAGGTATTAAAGGTTGGGGCATGAAAACTCCTTATTATTATCGAGAGGGGTGTGCCCATAGTCTCCGGAGATTGGAAGGTGTGATACCTGGGACAGTTTTTATTGCATTTATTAATATGTTGTGGTCTAGCCAAATCTTTGTGTATATTCATCTAGATTCAAAACTCGCCTTCCGACCGTTATGTCATGTCCTGCTATTATTCCTATTTTTACAGAGGAAGGAAGAACGATTAGTTAATTCCTATATTTTATATGAGTATTATTAAAACGAGGGTCACTCCTTAATGGAATATCATGTGAACAGTTGTCAGCATACTGTAACCATTTTGTAAGGACCTCTCGCCAGAACGGACCAGGAATGGTATTCATTCCCTTTAAGTTCTTTACGGAGACCTTACCCTTCAAAACGTGTAAGCCCCCAAGATACCCTCATTTTTGGAGAAGCAATGTCTGCTAAGCAGGGGCGGCTCGTTGTGTGTAGAACTGGCCGGCTGCCATTCATATCGATCCCCTCTCCCACCCCTTCCCCTTTATCCCCATCACCATCCTGTCCCCCTCCAAACAAACAAAAAACGCTCTCTTCGTTGTATACTCACATCCTTACTACACACACACATACGCACACACATACACACATACACATACACATACACACACATACACACATATACACCCACACACATACACACATACACACATACACCCATATACACCCGCGTACGTGCACACACACACACACACACACACACACACACACACACACACACACACACACACACTATTTTGCCCTTTATCTACGTCATATATGCAGTTAATATGAGGCACACAAGGCCGTAAAACACAATGTCACAAACATCGAGAGAGAGAGAGAGAGAAAAAGAGAGAGAGAGAGAGAGAGAGAGAGAGAGAGAGAGAGAGAGAGAGAGAGAGAGAGAGAGAGAGAGAGAGGGAGAGAGAGAGAGAGAACAGACTGAAATTAAATATTAGTTACACATACTTTCATCAACAACAAAAATAAGTTAAAAAGAATACTAAATTCAATAACTCACTGACGAGACGAAAAAACTCGAACCTTAAAACAATTTGCGAACTCTTACAGTAAGATGGGCAAGTTTGTAATTAATACCAATAATCCACAGTCATGTCGATCCATAGTATTATGTGATTTCCTACAAATGTGACATAAATGAAGAAACAGAAAGTCATATTTTTGCTGAATAATTTAAATTGTTTATTCCTTTTCCATTTCCAAGGTGTCAACACCACATCTCGTTGTGTTGCTTTCGTGGGCGTCTCCTTTCCTATTACAAACCGAAAATACTCCCCAGATTCCTCTTTTTGAAGATAGCTGTAAAGAAATGAATGTGGCTATAGAGAAAGGCAAAATCATAAAGTGAAAGAATACAATCTATTTAGGCCAAGATTTAGTATTTAAGCTCATGTAGTGCTACGTATCCACATGATCAAATCACGAGAACCTGAGTCATTTTCTAGTTTCTAGACACATTAAAGGTGATCCATACCACCAAATTTGTAGTTGTCAATCTGGCACGTCGAAACCATTACAAAAATTGGTATATTGTTCCAGTTAACCAGGTTTTTCTCTGTGTGTGCCATCAGTGTTGCAGCCCTTGGGTTTATCTAGTATAACTATAGCCCCCCCCCCCCCCCCCCCCCCCCCCCCCTTCCCCAATTAGTCCAATCGCTCTGAACTGCGAAAATTTCGAGTCCTAAACTCAAGGGAATAAAATCTGTAAAAAAGTCTCCCATGACCTTTGTGTAAAATGACGACCAAGGTATTAAAGGTTGGGGCATGAAAACTCCTTATTATTATCGAGAGGGGTGTGCCCATAGTCTCCGGAGATTGGAAGGTGTGATACCTGGGACAGTTTTTATTGCATTTATTAATATGTTGTGGTCTAGCCAAATCTTTGTGTATATTCATCTAGATTCAAAACTCGCCTTCCGACCGTTATGTCATGTCCTGCTATTATTCCTATTTTTACAGAGGAAGGAAGAACGATTAGTTAATTCCTATATTTTATATGAGTATTATTAAAACGAGGGTCACTCCTTAATGGAATATCATGTGAACAGTTGTCAGCATACTGTAACCATTTTGTAAGGACCTCTCGCCAGAACGGACCAGGAATGGTATTCATTCCCTTTAAGTTCTTTACGGAGACCTTACCCTTCAAAACGTGTAAGCCCCCAAGATACCCTCATTTTTGGAGAAGCAATGTCTGCTAAGCAGGGGCGGCTCGTTGTGTGTAGAACTGGCCGGCTGCCATTCATATCGATCCCCTCTCCCACCCCTTCCCCTTTATCCCCATCACCATCCTGTCCCCCTCCAAACAAACAAAAAACGCTCTCTTCGTTGTATACTCACATCCTTACTACACACACACATACGCACACACATACACACATACACATACACATACACACACATACACACATATACACCCACACACATACACACATACACACATACACCCATATACACCCGCGTACGTGCACACACACACACACACACACACACACACACACACACACACACACACACACACACTATTTTTTGCTTTATCTACTCATATATGCAGTTAATATGAGACACACAAGGCCTTAAACTACACTGTCACAAACATCGAGAGAGAGGAGTGAGAGAAAGAGAGAGAGAGAGAGAGAGAGAGAGAGAGAGAGAGAGAGAGAGAGAGAGAGAGAGAGAGAGAGAGAGAGGGAGAGAGAGAGAGAGAACAGACTGAAATTAAATATTAGTTACACATACTTTCATCAACAACAAAAATAAGTTAAAAAGAATACTAAATTCAATAACTCACTGACGAGACGAAAAAACTCGAACCTTAAAACAATTTGCGAACTCTTACAGTAAGATGGGCAAGTTTGTAATTAATACCAATAATCCACAGTCATGTCGATCCATAGTATTATGTGATTTCCTACAAATGTGACATAAATGAAGAAACAGAAAGTCATATTTTTGCTGAATAATTTAAATTGTTTATTCCTTTTCCATTTCCAAGGTGTCAACACCACATCTCGTTGTGTTGCTTTCGTGGGCGTCTCCTTTCCTATTACAAACCGAAAATACTCCCCAGATTCCTCTTTTTGAAGATAGCTGTAAAGAAATGAATGTGGCTATAGAGAAAGGCAAAATCATAAAGTGAAAGAATACAATCTATTTAGGCCAAGATTTAGTATTTAAGCTCATGTAGTGCTACGTATCCACATGATCAAATCACGAGAACCTGAGTCATTTTCTAGTTTCTAGACACATTAAAGGTGATCCATACCACCAAATTTGTAGTTGTCAATCTGGCACGTCGAAACCATTACAAAAATTGGTATATTGTTCCAGTTAACCAGGTTTTTCTCTGTGTGTGCCATCAGTGTTGCAGCCCTTGGGTTTATCTAGTATAACTATAGCCCCCCCCCCCCCCCACTCCCCCTAAAGAAAACTCCAACTACAGCAAGATAAAAAGAGGACCAAAATAAAACCCCAAACAAAACAAAACATGATAAAGAAACAAACACACAAACTAAAAAACAATTCAGACAAAATGTTAATCGATTTTAGACCGCCAATGGACTTTTAACATGATGTGCACCTTGCACAGGTGCCCTCCGAGATTTGTTGCCGTTATCCGAGACGGCTGTGTGTTAGATCTTACCCACCATAAGATCAGGGGTGTGGCTGAAAGACAGCAGTAAGAAAGAGCCGAGGAGTAGCAGTAGAAAGGCTGCACAAAGAGTCAGGAGCCCACAGGTTTATGTTACAGGGCTACATTTTCGTGCCAATTGTTTGTCCTCATTTTTTCAGGTCCATCCTAAAGTGGTACAGGATATTTTAGTGAAATTTTTAACAATACTAATATATTGGTTCTTTCTATAGGTCCAGAGTTCAGTACAGTTCAAGAAAATGAAAGTGTGACTAATTTTAATTGGTTGTTTATTTTTCTCTTTCGTTAGATTGACAGGACAGTACTTAGCCGCGAAAAAGAGAATCGACTCACTGAGTGGCTGACAGAGTCGTCAAGGCGGGGATTCGGGCGGACAAAGGAGCAGCTGCTGTCAACTGTCCAGAAATGCCTGAACAGTAAGGCAGAGACCACTGTCTTCAAGGACAACATGCCTGGGGAGAAGTGGTACCGTCTGTTTCGTAAGCGTCATGAGAACAAGCTCAGCCTTCGGACTCCCCAGGCACTTGGCTCACTGAGGGCTGCTGTCAGCGAGTACAAGATTGTCGCCTGGTTCCAGAAGGCAAAAGAGGACATCAGTCAGATAGACCCTATGTGTTGGAATGCCCTGAGAGACTCTTCAACTGTGACGAGTCAGGGTTTCAGCTGGGAGGAGGGGTGAAGAAAGTGTTGGCGGCAAAAACAGACAAACGAGTCAACCAGGTGACCAACGACACACACAAACAGGTAACAGTTCTCGTTTGCGGCAACGCCCTGGGGGAGCTCCAAGCTCCCCTTCTTATCTTCCCTGGCCAGCGCTTCACCTACGACCCTCTCGAGGGCTTTGAGGAGGAGGCTCATATGGCCAAGTCAGGTAATGGGTGGATAGACAGTGAGATTTTCGCCAGGTGGATGGAGTCTGCTTTCTGTCCTGCTGTCGCACATCTCCAGAAACCTGTCATACTCTTTGCTGATGGCCACAGCACTCACCTGACCCTGGAGATCCATGAGATTTGCCGGTCTCATGGCATCATTCTGTATCAACTGCCCAGCCATTCAAGCCATATCATTCAACCGCTGGATCTGACCAGCTTTAAAAACCTCAAACGAGCGTAGTATGAGAAAGTGATGAAGTACCAGGAGGACAACTCGGACACGTTGTCAAAACAACATTTCGCCAAAGTTTTCAAGAGAGCTTGGGAAAGGCGGGGACATGATGGGGATATTCTGGTAAGCGGGTTCAGGGCTTCTGGCATCTGCCCCTGGAAACCTGATCGCTTTGACAGGACCAAACTGGCACCTCACAGGCTGTTCCAGACGTACGAACCGACAATGGCAGAACTGACGAATGAACCGACAATGACACTACCGGTACAGGCAAACGAACTGACGATGGCAGATGCAGAACATGAGAGCGAACCGACGATGACATTACAGACTGACGAACAGACAATAGAAAATAAGAACGAAACGACAGTGACTGAGGAGCCAATGGAGGTGGAGCGAACCGAAATTAATCAGACTGAAACAACAACAGACACTGACGTTGGACCATCCGTAGCCTCCCATGACCATAACATAACTGTCCAGACTGCCTTTGACAGACTGCTACTTTTGACAGCCCGAGCAGGAAGCAGTGGCCTGGTACACTACCTGACCTGCTATGACCTTGACAAGACGACAGACGAGCCAGAGCAGCAGCTTTTTTCAAAGTTT